AGAATCGGATATTGTCAATCAATATATCGATTATCCTACTGCTTGGGATCTGTGGAAGGGAATCGAAGCCACCTACGGCTCCGGGAAAGATCCCTTGCAGGTATACAACTTGATGGTGAAAGCTAGCAGCATCAAACAAGGAGACCAGACACTAGAGAAGGTCTATAGCCAATTGCAAGCTGTGTGGAAGGAAATCGACAGGAGGCGACCCAACCCGATGAAATGCCCAGAGGATATGACGATTTTCACACAAATTCAACAACAAAATCGTCTGTATCAATTTCTACAAGCCATAAACGAAGAGTTCGATGTAGAAAAACGTGATATTCTCAAAACAGATCCCCTCCCCTCCGTAGAAGAGGCATACGCCCAAATCAGGAGGGAGGCTACCAGGAAAGGAATAATGAAGGGAGACGATGGGCCTTCATCGGGAGATGTTCCCTCAGGTCTTGGTAGTGGGTTCGCAGCCACACGGGCTAGATTGCGATCGGAAAAGGAGGTATCGTCATCTCGCATAAATGAGGACAAATCAACATTGAAATGTACCTACTGTGGCGGAACCAAGCACACCGCAGAAGGGTGCTTCAAAAGAATCGGGTACCCAGATTGGTGGCCTGACAGCCGAAAGAGGGGGAAGAAGCTGCCTGGGGTCGCTGGGGCAGTGGTGGGCAATCAAGAGACCACCAGCACCACCGCCATCCAAGCGTCTGAAAACTTCGCCGGAATCGCCATGGGTAACGTCGAAGAAGAGAGCAGCGGCGTAATAAGGAGAGGCGGAGAAGTTACGGGTAGGGGCGAAGTGACGGGTAGGGTTTGGGGAGAGGGATTAAATACTTTTTCCAAATCAGGCCCAATAAATAGAATTTGGCCCAAATCCCCGCAAATTAAAAATAACCAGTGGATTTTTGACTGTGGGGCTACTGACACGATGTCTTTCGACCGTTCCGATTTTAATTCTCTAAATTGGCCCAAGAAAACCCATATCCAAACGGCCAATGGGGATTATTCTCGTGTCGAGGGCACTGGTCCAATATTTATCTCAAATTCTATCCGGCTGGAGAATTGCCTATTTGTTCCCACATTGTCTCACAAATTGCTGTCAATAAGCCATGTCACAAAACAATTAAATTGCATGGTCCTAATGCACCCCACTTTTTGCTTGTTACAGGATATTCAGACGGGGAAGATCATTGGGCGTGGTTCTGAGCGTAATGGCCTGTACTATGTCGAGGAATTTGATCATTACGGAACAGCTACGCTTGCTCATGGGACAGTGGACAGGCAGGCATGGTTGTGGCATCGTCGTTTGGGACATCCATCTTGGGGGTATCTCAAAATTCTCTTTCCAAAATTATTCAATAAATCATGTCAGTTTCACTGCAACAGTTGTATTCTAGCCAAAAGTCATAAACATTCCTATCCGTTAAATAACACAGTTGCATCACAACCTTTCTCATTAATNGATCATACTCGAAATCACTAGGGCTCTTATGATTGAGTCAAATGTTCCGATTTATTACTGGCCCGAAGCAATTGCAACCACCATTTACCTCATAAATCGCCTTCCAACAAAAATCCTAAATCATAAAACACCCATTGATACACTCGCAAAATTTTCCACTGTTCCTACCTTCTTGACCCTCACTCCTCGTGTGTTTGGTTGCACTGTATATGTACATATTCCAAAAGCCAAACGAGCAAAATTTGATCCTTGTGCTGTCCGATGTGTCTTTGTTGGGTATGAGGTTCACAAAAAGGGATACAGGTGTTATGATCCTATTTCTCGTCGGATGTACACGACAATGGATTGTAATTTTTTGGAAACTGAGTACTATTTCCAAAACCACTCTAGTAGTCAGTGGGAGAAAATTACGAATGACTCTCTAGAGTGGTTACACAGCCCAGTCCTGCCACCTGAAACTGTCCCAACCGAGGAAGTAAGTCACTCCGTGAGATCATCTTTTGAGAACATTGAACAGTCCAACAACTCTGAACTCATGTCTGATTCTACTCCGTCTGAAAAGACTCCTGAGGTTAGTATTTCCCCCATTCCTGATGATTGCATTGATAAATCTAATGATACCGTGGAAGAATTGAATATATCAAACAGATATGTTCTCCCACCACGGAAGAATCGGGGAATTCCTCCTGTCAGATATGAACTAGAATACATACCTCGGAACTCAAGATATCCTGTTGCTGATCTAGTCAGGGGGAGTGTATCACAGGCACTTCACACATCCAGCCATGAAGTTCCTAGAACAGTAGACGAAGCCATACGAATACCAGAATGAAGAAAAGCAATGGAGGAGGAGATGAAGGCACTAGAGAAAAACAACACATGGGAGAAATGTCAACTCTGCCCGGGAAAGAAACCAGTCGGATGCCGATGGGTATTTACAGTCAAACACAAAGCAGATGGAACAATCGAGAGATATAAGGCCAGATTGGTAGCTAAAGGATATACTCAAACTTATGGTATTGACTACTCTGAGACTTTCTCACCAGTAGCTAAAATTGATACTATCCGAGTATTATTCTCCGTAGCAGCTAATCTAGATTGGCCCTTATATCAGTTTGATGTGAAAAATGCTTTTCTCCATGGAGAGCTAAAAGATGAGGTTTACATGGAAGCACCACCTGGGTTCTCGTCGAATTTCAGAGAAGGCGAAGGTTGTAGATTGCGAAAAGCTTTATATGGTCTGAAACAATCTCCACGCGCATGGTTTGGTAGATTTAC